GACTTCCGAAGCGTGTTGGCTGGCCGGCGGAGGACTGGGAGCAGGCAGAGGTATTGACGCGGCGTCGGCACGATCAGCTGCGTCATGGTACTCGGCGACCTATCATCGGACAGACGCCGCCGCAACCGCCGCCGCAACCGGCGCCGCTGCAAGCGGCTGATGCGGTCGCATGGGAGAAAGAAAAGCCGAAGCCCGGGTCACAAGATCACGAAACGGATGCCGGTGCGCGCTACGACGCCGTCATGCGGCAGACACACGAGCCGGCCGGCGGTTGGGGCGTCCGAGACGTCAGGATTAGGAACTCGCATTCGGATTGGCGGCAGCCGGCGGCGGCGGCGGCGGCGGCGGCGGCGCCAGCCGGTGATCGCGGCCGTGCCGCCGCTGCACGATGCCATCATCAACCCGGCTGGCCGCCGCAACCTCCGCATCCTCGGCCTTCCACACGGACTCCTGGACCGGACGGTAAGGTTCCGGTCAAGCAGCAGCAGCAACAGCGGAGGTGGGGTTCCGAAGCAGGATTACGCCGCCACCATTGCCTCGTTAGCATCGCCACGCAGCGGCAACGTGTCGCAGCGGCCCTCTGACCACGGCAACGCGGCGGCATTACCGGTAGCGGTAGCGGCATCGGCGGCGGCGCCGCCGCCGTCAGGTGTGACCCCGGCGGAATGGCAGTTGTTCCAGGAGTGGCGGCGGCAGCAGCAGCAGCAGCAGCAGCCGACTGGAGCGGCGGCGGCGGCGGCGGGGGCGGCGGGGGCTGCGAACACCCGTGGTGGCAATGACTGCGCGCATCATCTCAACAATCCTTCCAACACAGACAAGCTCAGTCTCCGATAATAGCTGCTATCCTAGGATTGCCTGTAGTGCAGGTGCGTCTATCTGCCTGATCTGTCTGTCTGTCTGTCTGTCTGTCTCTGTATATATGCGCTGATAGGTCGTTCTGCTGAGGGCGTTGCCCCCTGTTTTCTGTTGTTCAAGTAAACTGAATCCCGGGGCTGAGGCGGGTTTGGGTCAGTGTTGTTCTTGGTGTTGGGACTTAGGGTTTTATAAAATGACAGCGGAAACCGCCAACTGTCAACTGCTAGTTGGATGTTGTTGGGTTCCAGGCAAGGGGATTGTGGGAGAGGGGGAAAGGCGAGAGAGGGTCCCGGGGGGGCTCCCTCCTTGAAGAATTCGTTTGTGTGTGTGTGGGTGTATATGTGCGCGTGTGTATGTGTGCGTGTGTGGGTGTGTGCGTCCTGTAGGGATCTTGCTGGCTTGATAAATATTGAGTAAATGCCTCCTCGCCAAGGGAGGAGGATGTTATACACATGTGAACAACGAACAGCAACGCACGAGGTCCTTGAGCAGCTACGTGAAATTGTTTTTCTGTCTTTTAGCTGTCTTTTTCCCTTTCTCAAGCCGGTCTGCAGTACTTCGATGTTGGTGGTTGCTTGAGCATGTCCCCCTGAAGGTGGCATCTGCTGTCGCTTTTCCTGCGCCGTGTCGCCGACGGATAGGCCGACACCACCCATGCTGTGTGCTATGTGCTATCGAACCTGGACTTTGATGCGACGTCTAAAATGAGGCCTGGAAGGAGGGCTTTCAGTTTTAAGGCTTTGATTTGACTGGGGGATTTTAAGCATCGATGTGGTTGTTAAGCGCGAAAACGCACAGCTGAGTAGAACAAAAGAGTTAAAGTTTGGGGGATGTCTTTTAGTGGCTTTTAGTGGCTGCGAGTCGCGCAAGGTTGAGGGGGGCTGCGTGCGAGGATGAGGGGCGGCTGGGTCGTGAGATTGATGGGCAGATGAGGCTGGTGGGGGAGCTAGAAACGAGACAGGGCGTGCAACGGTATGGTTGGAGGTGGGGTGGGGAAGAAGGGAATGGCTGGCTGTGTGAACGGCGCAGAGTGCACTCGTTAACCCTCCTCAACCCATATTAACGTGATTGCGTGGTTAATGGCATGTTGGTCGGTTTTTCTGGATTCAAGTTCGTTCCTATTTCGCAACGAAAGGCCATGGTTGTTTTGCTGCATGCTGATGCATAACAGACGCATGATAAGCATCTGCCCTTTTCGACTGGAATATCGTGGGAATTCGTTGGTTTGGATGATCATGTATGCTGCCCTAAAGATTGTGCCCGACCGCTCGGCTTGTTGGGGTGCCGTACGCTGGATGCAGGAGGCACATACGACAGCTTGTATTACGGCATGGGCGCTTGGGCTTGGATTGCTATACGTGCTGACAATTAGTTTGATGCTCGCCCCAGGGCTGGCTGGACAGTAAGCGCTAGAAAAACAGCGTGCTTAACACGACGACTCCGCATTAAACCCGTAAGCATGAGTCCTCGAGTTGTAGTCCAACTGGAACCTTTGACGTGAGGCGATAACTGCTGATTGAGGTACCATCTGCATCGACATTTTGTAACGTGAGATCCCAGCGCAGACGCGGTGATATAGGCAGGGTACACATGACGGTCATCTGCATTCGTCTCTCCCACTCTCACTACGGAACAGCCGTACGTGAACAGCTACCTGATTATTTTCCACAGTCCTTGAATATGGCGAACTGTTATTATGCAGCTGGATAGATCTTTTACTGACCTGCGCAATAGCTTGTGCTTTGGCTGACTTCTTTGATGATCGAACTTGAACGCGGTTTGCGACTGGTTTCACCTTCACATCGATCTCCTCTCTTTAGCATGGCATATACGTATGAGGCCTTTGAGAACTTCTGAATCAGCCTAGGAGTTAAGGCAGGGGTGACCGTAGAAGCAAGCAAAATGAACAGTAAACTGCGTACAGCGATTGTAACTCTCTGCGTCTTCCTAAGCTTGCATCTTCAAAACGTGTTCTCAGATGGCGTGAACGTCAATCCGTCGAGCTACCTTGCACCTCAGGTCTGTATGTTGCGTTGCTTCTTCCTGAAGACCGGCGAAGCCATGAATTCGCCATGAACGCCATGTTGAAACACAGGTGAAGGTGCCGAACTACCACGTGAACGACATTTGGAAGGCGCATACGCACTTGCCGAACTACCCGGAAATCGAGGCCGCTGCTAGGGACACTTTCGTCGCCCTCCCGTCGAGCTATGACACAAAATATCGGAACCCCTGCTGGTGAGCAAGCTTCAGCGCGGAGATCGGTTCGAGTCGGATTCCTCCCTACTTAAACATGCCCATGGCCGCTCGTCCCCAGCTCATCTTGCCGCTCTCGTCCCCAAGTACACCCCTCTCCCTATCGGCTACAGGACACAAGATGTCACGTTCAAGTGCCTACCGTATTTCCAAATACTGGGAGTTTCCAAATGCGGGACAACCGACCTGTATAACCGCCTCACGGAACACCCCGATATGATTGACTGCTCTTGGAAGGTGGGACTGCTCAGTTGGGGCCCATATTTAGATCCAGGATCCAGTTCCCGTGGCTGGGGCCTAAGACCACAGGGCCTAGGACCACAAGGCACGGGATGTAAAAGGTCCTGGTGGTAGGCGGTGTATGTGTGTGAGATAACCGCTTATGGATCACCTGCCTGCTGTCTGCAGCGACCACCTGTGTGTATGTGTGTGCCCGATAGACAGGGTGCAGATGTGCCACCGTAGAGCCCCCAAGAACAGGTCCTCCCTCCCCGTCGCCCTCCTCTTGCGGCGGATAGCCCTAATACTGTTACTATTACTACTACCACTACTTAGGGCTGTTTCCCTCCTCTTTCTAAGGATAGTCTTCTTCCTATCATGGATTTTCATACCGGGACCTACCGCACCTGATTTGGTTAGAACCTCGACTGAACCGCACACGAGCCCATACATGCGTTGCTTCCCCCCTTTGACCCCAATGCGCCCCATCCAGTCCTACCGCCGCCGCCGCGACACCCAACCCTTTTCGGCTGCCCCGCCCTGCCCTGTCTGCCGGCTTGCCCTGCCTGCGTACATGCTATCATACATACATACAAATGCGCGAAGGGACCCCACTTTTGGGACGAGTCCGCGTACCCTGTTCGCGTGAAGCGGCCCGGTCGCTACGACGGCTCTTTTCCGGCTTACGTGAGTGTCTTCGACAAGGCGGCCGCGCGCATCCAGGCCAACCAGGCCGCCATTACGGGGGAGGCCTCCTCGAACACATACACGGCTGTGTACTCACATCTGCGGTGGGTAGGAGGAAGGGGGGACCCTGGGGGGCTGGGAGGAGGTCGGCGGGGGGATTTGTGGGAGGAGTCGGGCGTTAAGGCTGGGATCATCCCAGTGGGATGGTGGGGTAGAAGACGGGGGTGATGAGCTGAACCTCCTGCCCATCACCTCCGTCTTGGGGCTGGAGCTCCTGGAAGGTAGGGAGGGGCGGAAAGGCGGTACCTTTGGTCCTTTGGCGATAACGGTCAGGAAGGCGTGAATGGACGAAGGGAGGGGCAGAAAGGGAGCGGGGAGGGAGGTTGAGGCCGGTGTGGATTCTGGCAGGACGCGGCCTGAGTCCATGGTACGCTAGATCTGGGTTTTCTGGATCTGAATCGGAGTTCCAAGGCTAGATGCTCCGTACTGTCCTCCTCCTTTCTCCCCCTTTGCCTTCCCCCCTCCAAACACGTGGCTGCCTGCCACTCCCCACTTTTTTCCCCCACCCGTCCTCCACTCCACTTACAGAGGTCGCACATTGGTGAAGCGAATCAACTCCACGCTGTCCGAATACCTATCAAGTTCCTTGGTGAGTGGCATGCGGGGTAGCTTCACCGGGGGTGGGTTGGGTAGTGGGTGGTTACGTTGGGTGGGTAGTTGGGTGGCTACGTTAGGTAGGTGAACAGGCATGTGGGAAAGAGTCTGGGCCCCACTGTTCCCTTGTAGAAGTTTACGTACACATATATTTATACAAACAGACAGACATGCATACATACACATACCCTTGCACATACACACGCACGCGCGCCCCGTACCGCCGGCCCCCGTCCTGCATGTTTTCCCTCCGTCGCAATGTATTGGTTCGTCCTCCGCCTCCTCCGCCTCCTACTCCTCCTCATTATCATTATCATCATCACCATCATCATCATCATCATTATCATCATCACCATCATCATCATCATCATTATCATCATCACCATCATTATCATCATCACCATCATTATTGCGTGAAGTATCTCCGAGCCCCGGGGCCCCCACCCCACCCTTCCCGAACTCCCTGTGACCCCCCGCATTCCCGCATGCGGTCCATTTGGAACCTTTCCCTAATGCGCCCTAATCGCCCCTTGTGCTTCCTCCTCCTCATCACATTTTATCCTCACGCTTTCCCGCTTCTGTCTGTCTGTCTGTCTGTCTGCATTCTTCGTATACCCGTTGCCTCGTCGCCGCATCCAATGGACCGCTCGGCCTCCGTCTCCGTTATCTCCGGCGCTGCCGCTTCTTCCTTGTCCCCCTCCTCCCCCTCCTCCTCCTTCATCAAAACTCCTGAGGGTGGTCGTGGTTACGATGCTGGTTGTGGTGGTGGTGATTGCTGAAACAGTCATCCAAGTATGATGACAGTAAGGGGGCAAGCCGGGAGCTCAACACGGCCTACCAGCTGCTAAGGGACTTTTACAAGTGAGTTGGTGGGATGGGATGAGAGGGAAGGAAGGGGATTTTCATTCTTAGGGTTTTATCTCATGAGAGTGACTCGTCTTGTGTGACCGCATGCTGCTGCGGCTACGGCCACGAAAGCATGCTGCTGCTCTGATGGCTGTCGTGGTGCTGTCGCTGCGGCTGTAGCTGCGGACACCGTTATTCCGCTTCTATTCCTACCACCACCGTACAGCGGGCCCCGTGTTCACCTCATGCGACACAGGAGGTCAGCTATCCCTCCGTCTCGGTGCCTTCTTCGGGTGCATGGGCTGGCTCTGTTCTGTCGACCCAGCTGCTGCTGCTGCTGTTGTTGCCCCTGTGTCGCTGCTGCTGCTGCGGCGGCGGTTTTTGCTGCCACCGATCATACACGCTCTCGCTGCTGTTGCTAGTTTTTGTGTTACCTCTTTGCTACTGTTTCCGCTGCCCCTCCCTCCGCAGGCCCTTCAATCAGGAGCTTTCGAGGGCGTTTGGGAACGACCCGCGGTGGTTATGGGGGTACTGAATACACCCCACCGTACGCACGTCATGACGGGTGGACAGACCAGCATGCGAAGAGGAGGGACGAGGGAAGGGGAGAGGAAAGGGTGCGTGGAGCGAGGAGAGAGGGATGGGCGATGGGGAGTCCTCACTGTGTGGCGCGGTCGGTAATAGTAGCCACAGTGCTGCTACCTCATACACACATACCTCCCACCACCGGCTTCTGTATACGGGCGGATGGAGGAGGGCCACATGCGTGCTGCTGCTGCTGCTGCTGCTGCTTTTTGCCGAGGTTTTGCGCTGCTACACAAGATATCGTGTCATATCATATTTATCATATCTAGTGTCGTAATCACCCCTGCATTGCTGAGCCCGCACGACTGATGTGTGCAAGTTTTCCAGTTCCTACATGTCCCGTCTTCCTTGCAAGCGTCCTTCTGATCCTTATCGTTATCATGATCATCATCATCATCATCATCATCATCATCATGCGTCATCGTGATCGTCTTTTGGGGGCAAGGGCTGGCAAGGGGCCGGGTGTTTTACACCACCACAAACCAGATGGCCCTCGTTTAGAATCCTGGAGAGCGCACTATCACGGGATCTGACATCTGCAGCTGCCGATCGGTACTTTTCTGAAGTCGTGATATAGCACCCCGTAGTGGTGGGTCTAGCCACTTGCAGCCCAGTGCCGTACAGCGTCCCCTGCGGAATACAGCGGGGCAACTCCTTGCTACACCCGGGCCGAGGGCCCTTTTCGGCTTCGAAGTAGCTGACTACACTCCACTCACCAACTATTCCTGGTCAACCGCAATCAGTGAATAGCCCCGCGGTGCACGCGCACATCCAGGCATCCGCAGCAAATGAAAGGGTTGGGCGGCCGGGCAAATCCCAACGATGAAATAGAATAAGGTGATTCAACGCAGCATGCCGTACTCGGCGATTTAGCTTACCACCACATTATACCTTCAAACCTTCACAGACGTACGAGGAGTGGTGTAACCATCGTGTACATAGCACTACCTCCATCACAAGCAAAAACTGATGCATGAGAAACAGCAAATGCCATACAGCAGTCCATGCGCAAAC